CCTCAGGAGAGAAGGACTGGTTAGGCGTTCTTGCTTTTGTGCAGTGGGAAGTGGCGGTAGCAGAGACAGGACTGGTGGTGGAAACTAAGAAGACTGCTGGTTCATACGTGTAGGATTTGAAGTCAGGCCCCTGCAAAGACTTGGAGACTTGAGTTAGGTCAGACTTAAAGGCTAGGCGGGCTGGCTAGGGAAGCTGTGCTCTTGCCTAGGGCAATGGGAAACCAATGAGCAGGGCGGTGACAGGCTCTGCTCTCCTCTGTAAAGGATGTCCTTTGTTATGGGTGGAGAAAGCATGAAGGCCAAACTGTATAGATTGAGAAACTGTACGTGATCACCGTGTGTGTCTGGAGGAGGGAACTGAGTGCCCCCCAGCAGGCTGGAATTAGACACAGATAAATTGACAGAAGTGACATTTGAGGTGCTTGGGAATTGAACCTGGGGCCTTGTGCATGTTCAGTGAGTGCTCTACAAACTCAACCTTGTTCCCAGCTCCAAAGTTGAAAATATAGGAGAAAATATAGGATTTGCTGATAAATGTATGTGTGTATAAAATCTAATGGAGCTATTTGTAGGGAGGAAAAGCTTATTATAATGCAAGGAGGCAGCAGACAGAGCAGTTAACTAGAATATTCCTGTAGCTTTAAAATATTTAATATGTAATTACAATAACAAATCAGTATTGGTATTTTTTTATAGTTATTGTCAGTTTTACTACATAATTCTTATTTTCCAAGTAGTTTTCAAGCTGTCTTCCAAAATGTTGTATCCTAAATCATAGTATTAGCAGGCCTAACATTGTTATTTTACTGGTGCAATATTGTCAGGAAGTATTGTGTTGCTAAATATGTGTATATTGATATAATATTAACAATATGACAGTAATAATAATCATCATCATCATCATCATCTTTGAGACAGAGTCCCTCTACATATCTCTGGCTGCCCTGGAACTCACTATGTAGATCAGGCTGGCCTCAGAAGCACAGAGATCTGCTGCCTCTGTGTATGCTTCCAGAGTGCTGGGATTAAAGGGCATGCATCGCTGTGCCCTGCTGTTATTATTATTTTTTGAGACAAGGACTTATGATATAGTGCAGGCTGGGTTCAACCTCACTGTTTGCCTGAGAATGCCTTTGCACTCTTGATCCTTCTGCCTCCATTTCCTCAGTGCTGGGGTTTCAGCCATGGCTACCATGCTTTGTTTATGTAGTGCTGGAGATAGATACAGGCTTCCTGCATGCAGGCAAGCACTCCACCACCTGAACTAGATTCCCAGTCCTGCTTTTTTTTTTTTTTTTTCCTGAGACAGGATCTCATGTATTCAGACTAGCCTTGAACGCCTTTCTGCCTGCTTCTAAAGTTTGAGTATGTGAATAGAAAATGGTTCTCTTGATTTCCAAGGGAGCCATGACTGGATTTCAAGGAATTTTACTTTTCTCTGTTTCTCTTCCCTTGTCCCATTGGGAAAAACCTGTTGAATGGAAGACGTTTTGAGAGAGGCTTCTCTGAGAACGTTATATGTACAAATCTGTAAGGCAGTTTCCATGAATATTTTGAGAGAAGGCAAACTTGAGAAACAGCAATATTAGAGGAAGAAATAGTTGTGCCTGTAAAGGGGTTAAGAAAGTTGCCAAAGGGACAGATGTACTTAGAATCAAATGGTATTCTTAACCCAATCGAGGTTGATTTAGTCAATCAAGTCATTATATGTCAACCTCTATTTAAATTGAGCTTTACTCTTAGCCCCTCCCTTTTGGTCTGCTTGTAAAAACCAGCGATCACCTCTCCTGTATTGTTCCGGGCCAGGTGGAGTGGCAGGCTCCTAGGATTTCTAGTCCAGCACTGGTTTCCCTCCTGAAAGGTAACTTCTGCCATCTACTTTTCTCTTAACCTTTTGAGTATTTTCAAAACTGATGACTTCCTTGGGTTTGAAATTTAGGAAGGGAAAAGTGGAGTGCCCTCCCTCGGCTTTGTTTGTTATCTCTCCTTAATTTAGTGCTTTCAGTCCTGGGAAGAGGGCTGCCCCTGCCTCCCTCTCAAACGTCCTTTGTAGTTGTAAATGCAGGTTCGCCTAACTTTCTGTTTCCTGCTGGCTGCAGTTTTTCTGGTTCCCCTGCCCTGCACACTGAGTTCTTTCGAGCTTGTGTGCCGTTTCTGCTGCAGCTCCAGGGATTTCGTTTCCAAGTTGTTTCTCTGTAATCTGTTCCACAGTGAAATAAATACTTAGGAACGATTATATTCCATCTGCACTTCTAATTAGGACTTTGTCTCAAAAAGATGATTCCTGTAGATAGTATATGCAGCAAACCAGGCTTGCTCCTGTTTTTGTAAGATTTTCGAATACAGGCAGGATCTGGATAGAAAATCAGATGTTAGTTCAAGGAAGAAGAGGCCTGCTAGCACTAAGATGAAATCAGAGATAATGGTGTGATTTTTTTTTTTATAAGCGCACACTGGGAAATGTGTGTGTGTGGGCTGTTTGGGAACAGTGAAAAGGACGAGACTTAATTGAGGTTTGTCGGGTTCAGGAGGACATGGGATGGAGCCTGGGTTTGGGTACACGTGCAGATCCTAGTAGCAGGGTCCTCCAGCACCTGATTCCTTTAGAGGTAGCGCAGCCTGGGAAGTGAGTGATGGCGAAGCTGGGTTCCGCGTGGGCGGGGCCAAGGCCGTGGAGACCAACGTTCGATTTTTCAGTTTCCACTTCGCCCAGGAGTGGGGAGTTCTTAGCTGCTTATTACGAAACCAAACGTCCCTGGTATTCTCCTGTGACTTTCCGACTTTTAATTGTGTCTTAACAAACCACGCTTCCCAAATGCACGAGCCTCTGCTTTCTAAGGCAGGAATTCCTATCCCCCACGTCCCTTGGAAAACACGGTGTGTGTTTGCAAGCGCAGCCGTCACTGGCAGAATTTTGCAACGATTTCCCTGTTTTGTTGGCACATCTCCAGGAGGGGAAGGTTCTTTGTAATTCTTTGCTCAGACAGACATTAGGATCACACACACATCTCTTAGCAGATAGACCAGGGAAGGCAGTTCTCTTTCAATTTTAAAAGCTACAACATAGTAAGTTTTTATTATTATTATTATTATCCCTTTTATTTGTGGTGGGGGGGAGGAAGGGGGGAGAAACAGTAACAGACCGTCTCATGCCAAAATGGCTTAGAGTGGTGGCTTTGTGAGGGCACCGAGGAAAAACACCCCCCCCCCTTTCTTCTTTACTCTGAAAATAACTCCGTAGCTACGAGGTCTGAGAGCCCGATCTCATTGTTCCTAGCCACACGATTATTTGTCAAAATATTTGATTGTTTCCCTATAGCTGCTGAGAAGTTTGGACTTTCCTTTATGCTCCATCTCTACACTGGGATTTTTAACTATCAGCACTATTGTGTTTACAGTATTGAAGGCTTCAGAGTGCAAAGGTTATCCATTAACATGTAGACTGAGGCTACACATAGGGTTAGCCTCAACCTCCATCCGCTTCACTTGGCCATGGTTTTCTTTGTTTTGTATTAAAGCTGCCCCCTACCCCCTCCCCCCTATCGTTTTTTGGGACAAAGTTAAATGAAGTCTCCTGCTTATGAATGTTTGCAGAGCTGTTTCGTGTAGAGCGTGAATATTTAGAAGGCTTTAACCAATACTTTAAAGAAAGATTAATCTGTGGCGAGAAAAGGAACCCTAGTACTAAAAATGATCGATATCTTAACGTAGTTGAATGAGAATCAGGGTTGGCTTAAGGATCTATTCCAGCGCTGCTAATTAATTGTGAGTAAGTAATTGATTCACTTCCTTTGAAAAAAAGACTAACGAGACCATATGTGGGTTGGTAGTTATGTAAAACGACAGCAAAAACATACTACAAGGCAGATTCTTGCCCTGTGATAAGCTGGCTTCTTGAATTCTTCCTATTTATTAGGGACTGCGTTGCTTTACCAGTTCCGGTCGGCTTTTTTTTTCAGGCTCCCTCCCCCCCCTTTTGATTTAGGAAATGGGTATGAATGCTTTATTGATGTTTTTCTACTTTTTGACACACGAAGGGCCAGCTTGAAAAAGAAACCAGTTGGCTTTTCTGTATGCAGCAATGGATCTATTTTATATTTGAATTCATTTGCATTTTGGAGTAGAAGAATTATTGGATCTGATTGTGGCCGCCATAGTTCCTCCCTGGGGCTTGCTTAAAAATAGGGGGCATCTGTCCTAGGCCTTTGGAGTCATCACCTTTTCCTGTCTTTCATCTTTTCTATGAGTTAGGAACCCAACCGTGGGGGAAACGTTGTTAGTGAGTGGGGTGGTGGGGGCAGTGTTCGTTTTTGTTTTGACCCCACTTTTAAACCTAGTTTCACCCAAGTGAATTTCTATGCAAACTCAATAATTTGTGGTACCAAGTGCAAACTCAGACACGAAATTATAATAGAAAGGCAAGCCCAGGTCTTAAGGAAAAAAGATAATTACTAAAAAGACAAATACTGATTTGGGGAAATTTTAATCCTCCTCACATTGAATCTTTGGAAAGTATTTTCCTTTTCCCTTCTTGTGAACACCGCTATCCTGTGAGCTCTGGCAAGTTTTTTTTTTTTTTTTTGTTCCTGATTCTGGGCGACCCGGGAGTTGGGCAACCGGCTCCTCCCTTCCCCTCCCCTCCGGGCGCACCTTGCAAGGGAGGGGGAGGCAGCGAAGGAGCGATGGCTGTGCGCCTGCGCGCTGTGCTCGCAGCCCCCCCCTCCAGAATACCTGTCACTGGAACCGCCCGGGCGCGAGCGCGCCACGTTAGGCCGGATGGCGGGAGGTGGAGCGCGGCGCGCGTGCGCGGGAGCCCATGGGGCGGGAGCGGGGTGCGCGCGCCGCTCTGCGGGGCTCGCGCCTCGGGGGGCCCGTGGGGGGCGTGGCCGGCACCGGTGGGCGGGCCAGGGATGCGCTTGCGCACACGCGCGGGCGCCGAGGGGGCGTGACAGGCGCGGCTGGGGGCGGGGCGTCGGGCGGCGCGGCCAGGGGGGAGGGCGCAACAGCTGCTGCGAGCACTTTCTGCCCCAACAGTCCCCCCGCCGGACGCCGGCCGCCCGCGCAGGGACCCCGCGCCTGCACTGTCCCCGCGCGGACGAGTAGGGGGCGCCCGCGCCGCTCCCTCGTCCCGCGCCGGAGGTGAGCCCGGCCCCCCGGAGCCGCTGTGTGGGTGGGGGTCCCGGCACCCGCGGCCGTGGGAGGCGGGCATGGAGCGGCCCCGTCCGGGGCCCCGCGCCGTCGGGGCCCCGCGGCGGACGCACAAAGGCCGCGCTGCCCTTGCCGCTGGTTCAGCCCGCGGCCGGGCGGTGCAGCCGGACGGCCGCAGGTAAAGGGGCTCCGGGGCCGCGTCCCCACGGCCGGGGCAGCGCGTGGGGCTGGGAGGGACGGCCGAGACAATAGCCCGCCGGCGCGGCGTGACCGTCGGGGGTCCGCGCCCCCTCCGGACCTGCGTCCCGCAAGTGAGGGAAGGTGTTCGGTTTCACGCCCAAACTTAGAACGCCCCGCAAACTCCCGTGGGAAGTTCGTGCGGGGCGGCGAGAGGCCGAACCGCACGCTGGAGGGTGCGGCCCCGAGCACCTCAGTTTAGCCCTGACGCGAGCGGGCGGGCGCACGGTGAAGGGCGCCCCCGCCACGGACCCTCGGAGCACGGGAAGCGCATTCTTGGGCGGGGAGAGTGGGGGTGGGGACAGCAGGCGGGGATTTTTCCCCAAAGGTTTTCTTCCTGTAGTGAGCCGAAGCCCTGGGGTCCCCCTATCTGGGACCCCCCCCACCGTGGGGGCCGGTCCGCATTCGGGCGGTAGAAACTTTATAACTTTTTATTGTTTGGTTCCGGGGGCGGAAAAGGGTGGTCGTTCCCAGATCGAAGGTTTGTGTCCTTGAGCCTTAGTTTCTCTTTCTGAGAAACAGGCATTCCTGAGCACGCCTTGAGAAAGGGGAGCCAGCCTGGGGTCCCTGATTGTGGGCACCATGTGTGCCTTAGGATCGATCCTGTGGCCAGGTTCCTGATTTTGGGGATGGTTTGGAGCCTTTAAGCTGGGTGTTTTAAGAGGCCTAGGTCTGATTTAGTTCAGGTTGATTCAATTATGTCTTCATCGCTTTTGAGTTGGTTGAATAACTTGACATGAGATTAAGGCCAACAAAAGAGGCAGGGTAGCCACAGCTGCTGGCCAGGCCTAAAGACTAGGTAGGGGCCTCAGGGGGCCTTTCACCTCTTTGTAAGTGAAGGACGTCCAGAGCCTTCTTCTTGACTACTTTTCCCCAAGTGGGTCGACTGCCCTGATTGGTACCAAATCAGATATCAGACGTCCAATTTTTCCTTCGAGAAGGCTGAGTAAGAGGTTCCCCCCCAAGTTATTTTCTGTAGTGACAAGTGCAGAGAACTAATGTAATTGCTGACTGAAAATGTGACTGTCAGACCACTAGTTTGTGCTTACTTAATGTATCGAGAACTTTTAAGGTGTGTCCTTGATGGGAAATGACTTTTCTTCCCGAGAAGTCCTATTTATTTTAGATACTGTTTTGCAGACTTCTGGAGTACACTGGAGCATTTTTCCTTTTTGGTTATTTTGATTTTCATTTTGAATCCTGATCATTCTTTTATTGGGAATCACCCAGAAGCCCCCCCCCCCCATCCTGCCACTTTCCCAGTTGTGTAAGTATAAAATCCAGGAGGCCTCTGAAGACTTACCTCCTATGCATGTAGGAACTAGAGGGAAAGACTAACTGGGAAAAGAACATACTTCTTCAGGTGTCCAGCTGCTCCTACCCCTCCAGCACCATCTCCCACTTTCACAGTGTAAGAATTCGTGAGATTGAAGTTTAGTAATTGTTTTGGCTTTGTATTATTCCCTTTCACTTCTTACTTTAAAAAAGGAACTAAGATACCACTTAGAAAAATTTTCCCCTTTATGCTGAAGAATCTATTTTAATAATAGCACTCTTTCTTTTCCCCAGGTGGTAGGGGAGGAAGAGGGGGAGAAAGTTCTGACTCTGGCTTCTGAGTGTGGGGGGGGGGGTTGCACTCGGGTTTTTTTTTTTAATTCCATTTATGGCAGAGAAAGTTGGGGGTGGCTAGGAACCCCTAATCCTTTTCCAGTGGGCTTGTTTTAGAGGAAATCTGAAAATAAGACTTAATCAAGTCTCTTAAAAACTGATGAAATAATTAAGGCATACAATGGCCCTAGATGACTCAGTCTGTATCCTCCTGGTGGATAAGTGCTAATCACCTTTCTCCCTCCACATCACTTTAGTAGGAAACATGTTTCACCACAGCAGGGCTGCCATCCTCAGCGTAGGAGCCCACTTAATTCTGAGCTGCCTGATTAGAGCCTTGGGGTTCCAAAAGATGAGCTCCTTCTTCACTTTATTAAATGACGTTTCCCAGTTGTTCTAAACTTGATATTGGGTGATAAGAACTTTGGAGTAGTTTTAATGACCTGCCTTAAAACAGGGCTTTGTAGAAGATCTGCTCCCCCATTGCGGTGGAAACTGATGACTGGGGCCTTAAAAATACCGTTTGGGAAGCAGCATTTCCAGTCGCTCAGAAAACAATTTGAGATTGTCCCATCTAATGTGCTGCGGGGCCTCCATTGTGGGTTTTTGAGGTCACTGGCTATAATTTGTTTTAGATGGCTGGTTCCTGATTTCCTATTTCAGTTTAATCCCGTGGCAGTGTGTGTAATTAATAATTTGGGAAGTTGAAGCTGAGTTATCAAGAAGTGGGTTTCCCAGCTTCAGAATTAGAAGGAACAGCACAGGGCAGTTTGGGTAAACTGTTGGGCATTTTAGTGTCAGAATGTGCCGTCTCAAACGATCACAACTGAGCCTATGGAATAGTTTTTAATTCACCAGGGTTATTAAAAAATAGAAACCTGGAAGATGTGTGTAGGACAGCTACCAAAATTTAATTAAAGAATTCCAGTCCTATTAAATGTTCTGAACCAGGAAGAGCTTAGTTACCAGCATGTAAATTAGAGCTGTGACAATGGAGAGCCTCAGTTCACACACCTCAGCTCCAGGGTTTTCAGGGGGAATGGTGTTAACTATTTAAATGCACGAGGAAGAAAGTGTATCAATACACACAGACTTGGAGGATGTCTTCACCGAGTTGTGTTGGGGGAGTCTGGAATATCACTTAATGGCCTCGTTGTGGGGGCACGTAGAAAAGTTGTAAAAAGCTGGCCTTTCAGTTAGGTGATCTGGATTAAGGTTCTCGGTTAGCCAGACGGATTTGCAATGGTATGTGGGCCAGAGGGTTTTGAATTCAGACCACGAGGGCAGATAGAGATCTTGCCTTCAAGGAAGTGTGTATGAGTGGGGGTGGGGTGGGGGCACATACCACCATTCTCTCCTAAAAGTCTTCATCTCCTGAGTGAGTTCAGTTCTTGGACATGTCTAGCATCCAAATGGACAGGGGGAGCCCCTGTTAGCCAGCTGCCACCACAGATTACACTTTTATGTTGCACTACATTGCATGTGGACGCTTGTTGGCTGTACTGTTCTAAAGAGCCATTGCTTCCTGCCCAGGCTAGCAACATCAGAGTTACTGGAAATTTGGGGCCAGTTTGGTAATTTTATGATAAAGTTGGGAAATACAATACTAACCCTGAAAAGACAGCTGAGCTGAGGTGAGCAGGGGGATGAGTTGCCCCTGGCTTTTATTCAGCTTTACCAGTGTTGTTGTTGTTGTTGTTTTTAACACTACCCCCAAGGCTGGTTTTTTAATGGGTGATGTATCTTTCATGTTTAAGACAGTGCTGAATGGCCAGATGGCTTTTTACTTTACTTTTCTGATGGCTCAGAGCAGGATAATGTAAAATCTTTAGTTAGATCAAAAGAAGCTGTTTGTTTGGCACTCTTAGTAAGTGAATGTTTCAAAGGGACAAAATTCAGTTTTGGTGGCAGTTTTAGTAGCTGCTGACTTAAACTCTAACCTTTAAATCTCTCCAACAGCGATTGGTCTTATTCATTGAAAGATTTTATTTAATTTGAGATGTGGACAGGTAACTATGAAAGAGCTGGCCACAAGTTTAGTATTTATTCAACTTTATATAGGAAGGGGACATTCCTGGATTTTAAGGGCATTGCCTTAGCTTGTGTTTTACCTTGTTAGTTAAATTGAGTCTAATTTAGACCCTGCCCATTTAACCTGAAAAAAAAAACCCAGCATAGTGTGTAATTCCTGGTGCCACATAATAGGCATACTATTTGTTGATGTTGTATTGTGTTGTGTGTACACGAATGTGCCGTGTGCAGACACTGAGTCATTGTAGAATGTGGAGCTGATGAGCTCAGGTAAATGTGGGTTTGCTGCTGTAGTTTCCTGAAACCCTTTGCTCTGTGCAGTTGGTCCTGTCAGATCTCAGAGCAGATGGAAGGTTGCCCTCCTTAGGCAGGGTGTCCATCTTGCCTAATTGAAAATTAGTAAAGCAGTCCTTTCTCCCATAGAATGCTCTGCGGGCTTGCACAGTGTTTGAAATGCTTTACAGATCTCAGTATCGTGGTATTGACCATACTGAAAGCAAAACTGACTCCCTCTGCACACCTGAACTGTGTTGGGGTGAATCAGGCAGCATCTGAAGGGCCAGGATGGAACTCCTGCTGTCAGCCCTCGGATCTCCTGCTGTTGGGAGTGGGGTGTTCTCAGTGACTTTCAGGAAATGCGATTGTTTTGTAGAGGAACTTCTCACCTTGCCTTGCTGCAGGGTTTTGCCTGTGATGGATTGGATTATGATGCTGAATTTAGACTGAGACTTTACACTTTAAATCTTTGTTTCTCTGAACTTCTAAGTGTTTTTTCTTTTTTTTTCTCCCTCACCTGCTAGGAAAGTTAGCTTGATCACTGAAAGATCAAAAGTTACAGGTTTAGGGGCTGTGGGGATGGCTCAGATGGGTAAGGCCCCTTGCCACCAAGCCTGATAACCAGCATTTTGATTGTTATGACAGACATGTTGGAACTGTCTGGCTGAAATTGTCTGCCCTTTGATTCCCACATATGTGGTGTGGCATGCATCCACATACATACATACATGCACAAATGCAGTTTTTAAAAAAAGTGGTAGATTTTGTTTGTTGCTATAGACTGATGTAGAAGTTAGTCCTGCTACACGGTTAAGGAAAAAAAGCAGTGGGCTGGAGCGATGGGTCAGCAACTGGTCAAGAGCCCCTTTTGTTCTTGCTCACGACTTGGGTTCGGTTCCCAGCATCCACGTGGTGCTCACAGCGATTCATAACTTCAGTTCCAGGGGGTCTTAAGCCTTTTCTAAACTATGGGCACTGCGTGTAGATGTTTCACACACACACACACACACACACACACACACACACACACTCACACACACACACTCACACACACACACACACACACTCAATAAGTAAACCTTAAACACCCCCCTCCCACAAACTAAACTAGTGGATGCTTGGCCTGCATGTACTTGTGAGCACTGTGTGTGCCTTCAGAGGCCAGAAGGGGGTGTTGTATTCCGTGTAACTGCAGTTGTGTGCTGTCCGTGGGTGCAGGGGATTGAACCTGGGTTCTCTGGAAGAGTAACCAGCCAGTTCCTTTAACCACTGAGCCATGTCTCCTGCCCTCATTTTGTAATTTTAAAGATAAAAATAAGTTGACCAGAGTGCAGTACTGTGAGTTGAATGTCTTTGATTGTCTAGTAGGACGCTGTAAGGATGTGTGGAGGATGTGACAGATTGATCCTCATGGGAAGCACACAGATTGATACCTGAAGGCTGGGAGCACTTGTGTGTGTAGTGGTGTTTCCAAGTCCAGGTATAGCGGCTGTCACGAGTGGCAGTTCCCCTGACAGTTTCTTTTCACCATCGTGTAATTGGTAATTTAACAGGTACTGGGGCGGAGGGGTTCATGTTGATGTAGTCACACATCATTGTCTAGTTAGTGACTTATAGAATATCCGACACACTTGAGCAGTAAAGCCATATGGTTCTTACTGAAAACTGAGTAATCTTAATATGTATTAAGCCTAAGTATTCTCAGTGTGAGGGCATTTTGGGTGAGGCGCCTGGGGTGTGGGACTGAAGGTGAGTGCTGCCTTTACAGGAGTGAAGATTTAAAAATGTTTCTAAGTAGACTTTTTTTTATTTTTGCAAAGTACTTTTTAACAAGGTTGGTGTGGTTAGAATACTTGCTTTCCTGGCAACCAAACAAACTTAAATTGCAGTGATATCCCTTCCCTTCAGTTCTCTGTCAGGAAATAATCTTTAATATGTTGGGATTCCTGTTCCCTTCTGCACACCAGGAGGAAAGCCTGGAGCTTCTGGAAAAGCTGAGTTTGCTTGAACTTTCTTCAGGCACAGGGACTGTTTATTAGGTAGCAATTACAGTAAAAGAGCTGTTTTGATAGGTTCTGATACTAAACCTGTTGGAGTTCCTTAAAGATTGTAGTTGAACAAATGGATTTTAACACCTTAAGTACACTGTTGCTTTAAAGTTGAACAGACTTATGGCTTCTCAGTGAGGAAGAGTGAGCACCTGCTGTCAGATCTTGATGGCCATGGGAGGGAACAAGCTCAGATGGTGGTGCCATCTTCTTCAGGGCTGGGGTTGGGATCCCAGATCTATACATGGCATGGCAGGCCAGTGCTCTGCAACTGACCACACTGTGTCCTCAGCACAGGGCATGGCTGTTGTGCTGGTCAGCTTTATAAGTGCGGGGGAAAATAAACGTGACACGTGCCTTTAATTCCAGTGTTTGGGAGGCAGAGGCAGTTTCTGAGTTGGAGGCTAAGCCTAGTCTACACAGTGAATTCCAGGACAGCCAGGGCTATGTAGAGAGGCCCGGTCTCAAACGACAAAACCCACCCAAAACAAATAACTTGCAGGGATGGAACGATGATTAATTTGTTAACAGCACTTGCTGCTCTTCCAGGGGACCTTGGTTCCATTCCCAGCACCCACCCCAGGTGGCTCACAACCACCTGTAACTCCAGCTCCAAGGGATCTGACACCCCACTGCTACCCTGCCTCTGCAGGCATCTGAACACATACTTGGAAATAAAAGTACACCTTAAATTCTGTTTTAGTCTTGATTGCAGAGAGTGGGCATGGGGTGGTGGCCTTTTGACTCTAAAGAAGAAAGCTGTGAACACTTGGGTTCATTTAGCATCAGATCAGGAATGTCAGGGACCATAGCCCAAGGAGTGGCTGTTGCTTTGGCCCCCGCTTCCTGATGAAGTCATAAGTGTCTTTTAGTTCAGTGCCAATTCTCAGAGAAATAGCAGTGAGCCAGCCGGCCAGCAACTCTGTCCTTAGGATCTTAGGATGCTTTTTTTATATTTTAAAACTTTAGGAAATAATCCTTAAAATGATGGTAGAGAAAGATAACTTATTTTTAAATTTGTTTTTCCTTGTAGGATGGTTTTATATTGAACTGAAGTCCCGAGAGTGTGTCCCAGGTGAACTGTGGGTGGTGGTGAGCAGGAGTTGTGGGACAGGCTTGCACCTGAGTCTTCAGATGCTGTAACTCAGGCTGCTTGGGGCTGCATCAGTTGCGAATAGTTGTGACTGTCAGAATCTGTTCTGGAAGCTTCTCAGGAGGAGGAAATGCTTCCAGCTTTGCTCTTCCTCGTGTCTCTACTGCTCAGCCTGAGGAGGCCCCATTTCTCTCTGGCCACCAGCCCACCTCTTGTTACTCTTTCTGGGCATGTCTCAGGTGGCCATCTTTATAGCATCCTTACCTGGAACTGCAGCCTCTTCCCCTCAGGCAGCCAAGGAGTTCACAAATGAAATAGGAACCATTTTTTTCTTCCCCCTAAAGTAGCAGGAGTACTTTACTCAAAATGTAAGGAGCGTGCAGATTTGAACAGAATACACCATCCAGGAAGCAGGCTGTGTGAGTGAGGGTACTCAGACAGACACTTGCTGGGACTGTAAGTTACCCTGCCCCCCAGATTGGTGGCGGGTAGGGTAACTTGTAGAGAGGTGGGGTTCTTCCAAAAGCTTAGGTAGTACAGAGCAGCGGTACCCTCCCCTACTGTGCCCCCCCCAAGCAAGTTTGCTCTTAGCTTTTTTGAGGTAGGGTTTCCTCTATAGCCCAGGTTGGCCTGGAACTCACTTTTTGGTCTAACTATTGCTTCTTTGCCATTCTTAAATAGTTATCTGAGAGCTTCAGAGAGGAGAGGATGTCTAGTAACTAAGTGACTGCTCTCAAATTACAGGAGGGGGCAGCAAGGTGAGACCCCACATTCATTCCTAGAGTAGGAGCCTGGTTCTCCAGTGAGCACACCACCCGGCCCTGGGTGTGAGGTTAATGAATGTGTAGAAATCTAAAATGGGGCCCGCCCGCACTGAGATTGCTGCCAGGGCTTTGGTTGTGTGGATCTGTCCTTAGCCATAGACAGGTTTGGTGCTTGTCAACCTTGCTGTAGTTTTAACCACAGGAAAGTGCCTGGGTTGAGTTGGTTTGGCATGACACCTTGAAGGTCCTAACTTGGGCTAGAACTCAGGTCTCTGTTACGTCACAGTGTGGTAACCACTCCAGGTATTTGTCCTCCATTGTGATCACAATAAAGGCAGAAACGAAGAAGATAGTTGTGCCCTGGAGCTCACAACTGTGTAATGGGAAGAAGGGGAAGAGCCGGCTTCATGAGCATGCAGTGGGATGGGACCCAGGAGGGAGGAGGACAGCCCTGTGGCAGGTGCCTTGCGCTGTGCCCTTTGGGCGGAACTAACCAGCTTATTCGGAGAGGAGGCAGGACTATGCAAAAGCAAGCCCTCTGTGTGCCACGAAGGTCTGACTTTCAAGAGTTAATTCTTCAAGAGTGGGAAACCAGCCTCTGAAGCAGATCCCACAGAGTGCTAAGTCAGGTCCCCACTTCCAGACCAGTGCCCAAGTGGAAGGTGGGGTACAGAGTGGGAAGTGTGCTTTCTGATGGAAGAGTGGGTCATGTGGAGCCAGGTCTTGGAGGCCTGTGAGAATGGGGGTGCTTGCACAGTGAGTGGCTTCTGAAGCCCTTACCCTACCTGGCAGCACCCAGGGCCCCAATTGCACGCAACAGTCTTGGGCCAAGGTGAATGCGATTCTGAGGTGTGTCTGAGTGGGGGCCTGAGGAAAGGCCCCTGTGCTGTTCACTGAGGGTATAGGCCTCTCTGTGACTGCGACACTTAGACTTCTATCTGTAACTTTTTTTTTTGAGTCTGGCTTTAGGGTATTAGTTGAGGAAGCTCATTTTCATAACTTACTAAGAGACAGGGTCTGCCTATGTAGGTCTGGCTGTTCAGGAATTTGCTATATAGGCTAGGCTGGCTTCAGATTCTCAGATCTACCTGCCTCTCCTCCTGGCACTGGAATTAAAGGTGTTTGCCACCATGCTGGCCTTTTGTAACTTTTATAGTCTGTGTGTATCTTGGTGACAGTTGAGACATAGCAGAATTGTAACAATTCTAAAACTTGACCTTGTTATATTTATTTTTGAGACTGTCTTTTTATGTTGATAAGGCTTACTTTGAACTCGCCATGTAGCTCAGTCTGGCTGGCCTGTCATAGCTGTTCCCTGTTTAAACTTGGCTTTTATATTTCTGTGAGCAGAGCTCTGGCTTAACCTCTCCTTCCTGGTTGAAATTCTACTCACTCAGTAAGTGTATCGGCTGGGAAATATGCTAATGATTTAATTAGCAAACATGTTTAGCAGGACGCATTGTGGATTAGTTAAAGGTGAGGCGATTGAGTCTGGTCCCTTTTTGTGGAGAAGACCATGTGACTCATCAGCCATTCCTCTTTTTTGTCTTTTTGAGCCTTCCTCACTGAGCCTTGTTTTTCCTTCTAGACTTTGGAAGTCCCTTGTCTTCACATTGCCGGGATCCGCGTCTTGCTCAAATGAGCCACTCAGCCAATGAAGACAGACGGAACTAGTGCCCTGGTGCTGACTCACATCTGAATCACAGCACTGGGCAGCTGGGATACTGTGTTTGTGCAAAGACCCATCATCTCCATCACTGAGCTTTCCCCAGAGTCTGGAGTACACTCCCCTCTGAACTTTAGTTACAAGCCCAGGTTCCTCAAGGTTTGTGTGACGTCTCACAAGTGGCCTTATTCTAACTCCCAGAGATTCTCCAGTAGACCTGAAGGGGCAGGCAACATGCCAACTCAATCCCTCCTCATGTACATGGATGGGCCGGAAGTCATTGGTAGCTCTCTGGGTACCCAGATGGAGGTGGATGATGCTGTGTCCATCAAAGGGCCAGCCTCAGTCCCCTTCCGAGCTGCTCCGGAGAGGAGCATGACCCCAGCTGAAGGGCACATGCCCCTGGACTGCATGTTCTGCAGCCAGGCCTTCTCTCATGCAGAGGACCTCAGTCAGCACGTGCTCCTGCAGCACCGACCCACCCTCTGCGAGCCGGCCGTCCTGCGGGTGGAGGCTGAGTATCTGAGTCCTCTTGATAAAGGCCAGGTGCCAGCAGAAGCGTCCAAGGAGAAGAACTGCAAAGAGAACGAGGAGCTGAGCTGCGATGTGTGTGGGCAGACGTTCCCAGGGGCTTTTGACGTTGAGAGCCACATGAAGAAACACAAGGACTCCTTCACATACGGGTGCAGCATGTGCGGGAGACGGTTCAAGGAGCCATGGTTCCTGAAGAACCACATGCGGACACACAATGGCAAGTCTGGCACCAGGAGCAAGTTGCAGCAGAGCCTTGAGAGTCCTATGACTATCAATGAAGTAGTCCAGGCACATGTAGCTGGGAGCATCTCCTCTCCCTACAAGATCTGCATGGTTTGCGGCTTCCTCTTCCCAAATAAGCAGAGCCTCATTGAGCACAGTAAGGTTCATGCCAAAGAAACTGCCTCCAGTGCCCCTAGCACAGCCCCTGATGTCCAGCAGGAGGGACCCACGCCCCCAAGGGAAGAGCTGCTGCAGTTTTTGAACTTGAGACCCAGATCCCACCCGGAGACTCCAGTGAAGCCCACCACCTGTATACCTCAGCTTGACCCATTCACCACCTACCAGGCATGGCAGCTGGCCACCAAAGGGAAAGTGGCCATTGCCCAAGAAGAGGTGAAGGAGTCAGGCCAGGAAGGGAGCACGGACAATGACGATTCGTGTTCAGAGAAAGAGGAACTTGGAGAAATTTGGATTGGGAGCAAGTCGGAAGGTTCTGGAAAGTCCAAAACAAATAGAAGCAGTTGTCCAGGTCTCTCCCAAGACAAAGAGAAGCCTAGACATGCCAACAGTGAAGTGCCTTCTGGGGATGGTGATCCCAAGGTGCCCAGCAGCAAGGAGAAGCCCACACACTGCTCTGAGTGCAGTAAAGCCTTCAGGACCTACCACCAGCTTGTTCTGCACTCCAGGGTGCACAGGAAGGACAGGAGGGCCGATGCCCCATCTCCTACCATGTCTGTGGACGGACGACAGCCTGGGACTTGCTCCCCAGACCTTGCTGCCCCTCTGGAAGAAGGTGGGGCCGTGGACCGAGAAGGGGGCTCTGAAGACGGGTCTGAGGATGGCGTCACTGAAGGGCTCCATTTGGGTAAGTCCTCTACTGCTTCCCAGGCGGGGCTGGCAGGGAGCATGTGGTGTCATTCCATGGAGTCAGCATCTCAGCCCTTCTTTTGTTTCTGTATTAATGGGGTGGAGTTAAAAAGCCTGTGCCAATCCTATCTTGTTCTGAAAGGGCTCTGTACATTTGGCTCCCAAAGGACTCAGGTTTTTATAGCTAGTGCACCAGGAGTGCTGCTGGCCTTCTGAGGCCCTGGAATGAGCCTGACGGTGACCTGGTGCAGGGTACTCGCGCTCTGGAACTGAGACCCAGGACTTTGTGTCAGTTGTCAGGCAGTTCTGTTCTTACATTGTAAGACCAGGCCTGTCAAGGCCGTGTGTTTCCGTCTGTTCACATGGGTTTCCAGTGGTCCCAGAAGAAGCGGGGTGGGCTTCCTAGCCAGTCGGCTGGTCCTGCTGTGTGGGAACCCCCGGCTGCACTCTGATGACCTTGGTGTTCATGAGGTCAGTGTTGATGAGTGAGCTTCTGTAGGTGAAATCCAGGCTTGCGGGTCCACTTCAGGCCTGCTTCATGAATTTAGTCTTCTAATAGTGTTTATAGAAAACAAGCTGTTGCCTAGGTTCTCATGATTGGGTGTGAGCCTGGATGGAGTGAAGGAGTCCACCCACACCTGAACCATTCTCTGAATGTGGGGCTCTGCTACTCAAAGTAGTTAAACTCCTGATGTGTGGGACATAATCACAGGTTAATGATGATACTTGAAGATGTGTTTGGAAGTCTGTGTGAGACCAGGGTGAGTATTGACAGTTATGTCAGACTTGTCAGCCACTGCATTGGAACCAGTAGCCTTTTTTTTTTTTTTTTTTTTTTTTTTTCTGGTCAGCAATTGACCCGAGGACCTTTGCTTTCCTGACAGATGTCCCGCCAGTTGAGTTTCCAGGGTCAGTGGAAACCTAGAGGTTAGCATAGTCCCACTCCTCAGTCTGTAGAAACCTACAGGACACATGGTGTCTGTGACATAGGAGCAACCTCATGGGTGGCCTCTGTGCCTTTGCAGTCCTGCAGTGTCAGCACTGGAAATGCCCTTGAGCTCTCAGAGAAAGGAATCTTCCAGCCATTGGAGTTGGTAGGAAACTTGCTGGGGTCCTGAGGAAGGCTCCCTGGCCTGACTTGCCACAAGTGGGAGTGCCAGGATCTGGCTGTGGTTCCTAGTGACCATTACACATTGCCCACCCTTTGCCGTTTCCCTGTTTGCAAAATCAGTTTATCCAACTCTGGTACTCCTCCCTAGGACGAGTTCAACATTAGTTGTACAAGTTTGCAACTCTGTACAACAGCATAGTTCAGTCAAGATCCAGGTTAGAAGGCAGGTCCAGATGTTGAGAGGCCACAGTCTGTGTTGTGTGTAAGAGATGTTTCCCAGCCTTTTGCATGTGATTTAATAAAGTCTATACACCCTGACACAGCTGGAGGCAGGGTAAGCTGTGAGCCTAGCTGTAAATGCGGTGAGACTGACTGTAAGGACATCCTTCATCCACTGTGCCGCCAGCCAGTCTGCTTTAGGCTTACTTTCAAGAAGTTCAAAGAGTTTGATGAATTTTCAAAACCTCTGGTAGCATTTTAGGAATTGTCTTTTGGATCCCCTTTCTAGTAGGATTCCATATAAATGAAGATGGCACAGGCCCACGCATCACACCTGCTCTCACCCGGGTGTGCATGGGTCACCTGCTTTTGCATTTGGTAAGAAGGCAGTGTGTGGCAGAGCAGGGAGAAGGGGCCTGCGATTGGGGTCAGTTTCACAAGGCAGAATGACTAGTTTAACTGTCCTCCTTGAGCCCAGGTGGGACCTGTGCCTTGTGATGGACCACACCAGCATCATGGCTCTGATGGCTAGATTGCAAGCGGTGGCTGAGCTGGGTCATTTAAACCTACTTGCTGGAAGGGATGGAATTCACTGGGGTGGGGGGGTCTTATCACTTAAGTTGGAGGGCTGGTGAGACTGAAGCCCTAGCCCGCTTTAGGTGGCCCCTGTCTCCGGTGGTCCTGCGCATCAGGCACTTCAGCCTTGCTTTTCCAGCATATTCTGATTACTGGGTTTATTTTGCCAATGAGATTGCCTGGAAACTGAACTCCACCTTCCCAAACTTGGCTAAATTTTGATCAACTTTCCTAGGTACTTGCCCAAAAAGCCAAGCCAGGGTTACTGTTGAAGTTATTTTGGGCTTACTGCCCCCTAGTGGTAACTTCCTTAATCTCAAGCTGTTTTCTGCCAGTGATCTTATTCCCTCCAAATAAAATTGCTGGTTCTGAGTAAGGTGGTTTCTCTGGCTAGTGGGCACATCCACCCAAGTATGAGCCGGGTTCATTATATGTCAGGTTCTGTCTTTCAAATATCACTGCGGTGACTTAAGGTGCAGATCCTGAGTATGCCAGGGCACTAAGGCTGTTCTCTGAACACAGAAGAACAGAGTATAGTGCTGAGCACACATCTTAAATCCCTGCCATAGGGAGGCCGACAGGTGGGTTTCTGAGTCCAGAGCTAGTCAGGGCTACACACTGAGACCTTGTCTCCAAAACAACAAAACAAAACTACACAGTGTGAGGCATGAAACACTGCCTTATGGCATTCGGTATGTTACCTTTAGCCTTTGAAACTTCTGCCCAGAACTAAAATAAATTATTTCTCCAAATGTTTTGTGTCAAGAATACTGGAGTCCTGAATCATGTGCTTCGTCTGACTTACACAGATGTTTTTGTTTCTGCTTTAAGATAAAAATGATGATGGAGGAAAAGCAAAGCCCCTCACGTCGTCGAGAGAGTGTAGTTACTGTGGCAAGTTTTTCCGTTCAAACTATTACCTCAATATTCATCTCAGAACGCATACAGGTAAAGATCTTGGTTCTTTTTCTTCCTTTCTTTTTTTTAAGGTTCATTTATTAATTTATTATATATACAGTATTCTATCTGCATATATGTCCACAGGCCAGAAGAGGGCACCAGGTCTCATTACAGATGGTTGAGTCACCATGTGGTTGCTGGGAATGGAACTCAGGACCTCTAGAAGAGCAGTCCGTGCTCTTAACCTCTGTGCCATCTCTCCAGCCCCAAGAGCTTGATTCTTTTTTTTTTTTAATGGTTTTTCTAGGCAGGGTTTCTCTGTATTGTTCTAGAGCTTGTCCTGGAACTCACTCAGTAGACCAGGCTGGTCTCGAACTCACAGAGATCCGCCTGCCTCTGCCTCCCCAGTGCTGGGATTAAAGGCATGCGCCACCACCGCCCGGCTGAGAGCTTGATTGTTAAAAGCATGTGTTAGCTGAAACCGTTATGTGGTGCTCTGTGGTTCAGATGCCTTAAGTCTGCTGTGTCCTCTAACATCACAGCGGCCTGAACTCGGCCCTGTTGGAGGCTGGTTTACACTGCCATATTCTGGCTCTCATCTTAAGGCAAACCTGTAATATTTTTAATGTCACATTCTTTGAGAACCACTTTATGACTTTGGAATGAAGGGAGGGTTTGGATGTAGGCAGTAGTGTGGGTTAGGAAGTTGCGAGCCTGCCTCGTGGCTTGGGAGCACTGATAAACAATCCCCAAGCTCCCATATCCTTAGCTGGGAAATGTGCAGACTCTGCCACAGGGCAGCAGTGAAGACCAGGCCAGCTGAAGCGTGCAGCGAGCTTCTGGGAGAGACAGGGCTAAGTTAGTGCAGCACACTGGGGTGGTGAGCTATCCTAGATATGCAGATTGGTAGGTAGGGAACAACCCATGGTTTGTGTCACAGCTTGGCTAGCTTGCAGAGTTTCTTGGTGTCTTTCCTAAACGTCACGGTAACACTGGCATATCTCGTTCTAGGTGAAAAACCATACAAATGTGAATTCTGTGAGTATGCCGCAGCCCAGAAGACGTCTCTGAGGTACCACCTGGAGAGACATCACAAGGACAAGCAGCTGGTGGATGCTGCCACGGAGGCCAAAAGCGAAGGCCGGAGCCAGGAGCCCCAGGAAGTACTGCTAACTGCCGACAGCGCGCAGACCAAAAATTTAAAGCGCTTTCTTGATGGTGCCAAAGATGGTAAGGGCAGCCCACCTGCCAAGCAGCTGAAGGAGACGCCTTCTGTCTTCCAGAGTGTTCTGAGCAGCACTGTCCTCTCACCAGCACACAAGGATACTCAGGATTTCCATAAACATGCAGCCAGTGATGGCGAGAAAGTGCGAAAGAGCCCTGCCCCTGCCTATCTGGACACGACAAAGAAGAGAGCAGCAGGTGACCCTCAGGCCAGCAGCCCTGCTTGCAAGCTAGAGGGGGTCGGACCCCTGGCACGGGAAGCCGGCCATAGGGAGAAGATGGAGTGGGAAGCTGACTGCCAGGACAGTCCTTTGAATCTATCCCTTGGGCCACTCCACGCCTCTCCTGCCATCACCCTGAATAAGTGTCTCATTCCCAGCATCTCCTGCCCCTTCTGTACCTTTAAGACCTACTATCCAGAAGTTCTGTTGATGCACCAGAGACTGGAGCATAGGTACAACCCTGACACCCACAAGAACTGCAGCAGCAAGTCTGTGATGAGGAACCGGAGGACAGGCTGTCCTCCTGCCTTGCTGGGCAAAGATGTGCCTCCCTTGTCCAGCCTGCACAAGTCGAAGGTCAAGCCTGCCTTCTCATCACAGGCCAAGTCCCTGCACCCGGAGAAGGTCCGACAGGGCTCCTCGGGGCCGAACAAAGCTCCCCAGACATCAGGGCCAGACAACAGCACTTTAGCCCCAAGTAACCTGAAGTCACACAGGTCACAGCCTAGTGCTGGAAGTCCTGGGGCCGCCAGGCAGCAGCAGTCAGAGCTGTTTCCCAAAGGTGGCGGCGTCTCTGCTGCTACAGAGAAGGTGAAGAGACCCGAGCTGAAGCCCAAGGCCCTGCCAGCTGCCCCATCTCAGTCTCCCCTCGGCAGTAGTAATGGCAACGGCTCCATCGAGTACTCTGTGAAGGTGGATGGCCCATGGGTGTCACAAGGAAGAGACTACTACTGCCATCGGAATGCTGGCAGTGCCGTAGCAGAGGTCAGTGAGCCACATCCAAAAAGACTCAAATCCAGTGTGGTGGCCCTGGACACAGAACATCCTGGGCCCAACGGCAGAAGGGGCTTTGAGCTCCCCAAGTACCATGTGGCCAGGAGTATCACCTCGCTATTACCATCAGAGTATGTGCGTCCATCGCCTGTGCTGCTCCCCAAAGCCCGTTTCCTGAGCCCTGGGGAGGTGGAGTCGCCCAGTGTGTTGACTGTGCAGAAGCCCTGTAGCACCTCTGGACCTCTGTATACCTGTGGACCTGTGGGACACGCAGGAGCCAGCCCAGCCCTTGAAGGTATGACCACAGGCACACATCCCATAGGAACCCTGGGGTCTCGGGTGCAAGCAAACATTCTCCCATATGTGGTATGCTGCAATGTGTTATAGGCCTCTAGAGCTTAACTTTGCTTGTTGATTGCCTTGAGTTCTCTTAAGAAAATATGTAGAATAAAACAGAAATAATAGCAAGCTAAAAAGTGTTCCTTTTCTGGTGTTGAAGTCCAGGTACCAGCTGGGCATGGTGGTGTGTGTCTGTCATCCCATCAATGGGTGGCTGAGGCATTTGAGATTAGCCTGGGTTATATAGACTGTTCCCAAGAAAAACCAAAACATGAGTGCCCCTGAGAGCCTGCTTAGGCCCTTTGTTACAACCCTCTTCTGTCCACGGGTTGTAGCAGCACTTGAGTCCTGTGGTGTGATTTGGGATTCTTCTCTGTTCTGTGTTAAAGAGAGTGTGTGACACTGGTACCCTGCTTGTCTGTTGTTGGGCCTGTTCCTGATGTGTTTGTCTTGTATGTAGTGGTATCGTAGGGAAATGTTTTCTGGTGTTTCATGGAGCTTCCGGGGCTTTCCAGTGCTTGGAAGAAGGTAGACCACGGGTCTGTCTGTTTCAGGCCTGTGTAAATCGTAGTATTGTGGGTTTGGGCTACTCCATAGCTATCACAGTCAAACCTTTATTTAGGGTTGGAGTGGGTTCAGGAGGCAGAGTGCTGGAAGAGATAGGGCTTTTGTTTTTGTTTTGCAAAACTGTAAACGACTTGTATAGTAAAACCCTGAGAACGACTCTTGGTGTCCTGTGTTCCGGGCACTTCCTCCTGGAGCAAAAGCAAGTGCTTCCATTGGCTTCAGTGGACTGTATTAAAGTTGTGATGAAGTAGTGTGTGCTTCTTGTGGGTGTGGGCTATCGGACCCAGGGCCTGTTGCGCGATTTTGGCAAACACTCCACCAACTGAGCTTCAGTATCCCTCCCCTGAAGTGGATCTAGTGTCCAGTATTCCATGGTCTTTGTACATGTTTTTAACCCTTTCCTGTTTGTTCTGCAGAGGTCTGGTTTATAATATCTGTAGGCTTAAGTGTGTTATTTGTTTATTGTGTGTGTAATGTGTGTGTATAGACACTGGGGTTGGGTCTCTTCCTCCACGCTCAGGTCTCCAGTCTTATGTAGCAAGTGCCCTAACTGACTGAGCCATCTTACTGTGCTCAGTTTAAGTGAGTGTGCATGTCTGCTTGCCTGTTACTTATTTATCCAGGCTGTCTTGTAACTCACTCTGTAGACCAGGCTGGCCTCAGTCTTCTGGACATCTCTCTTGCTCTGCCTCTTAGTGCTGGGATTAAGGGCAAGTGTCCCAGACCTGGCATGCTTCTTTTTAAGAGAAGGTCTGATTGTCTAACCCTGGTTGGCCTTGGACTCGCTTTGTAACCTAGGTTGGCTCAACAGGTATCTGCCTGTCTCCACCTCAGCCTCTAGGATTAAAAGTGTGCAGCACTGTTGTCCTTTGTTAGTCTCTGGTGAGTGTTGTAAAACTACAGCTGTGGACGCCTGCTCCCCCTAGACTGAGTGTAGCGTTGCTGTGCTGGACTCTGACCTCTTCCTTTCTCTTCGATTAGGAAAGAGGCCGGTGTCCTATCAGCACCTATCCAACAGCATGCTGCAGAAGAGAAGCTATGAGAACTGTGTGGGAAATACACATTATCGACCAAATGACAAAAAAACTTGATTTCTGAGTTTGGGGAAAAGGTGAGCGTTATTTTTAAATTTATTGATATTTTTAAAATTGTTGATTGATTTGTGTGCTGTGGGAGTATGTGCAAAGTATCTTTAGGGAGTCCCCTTTTTCCTTCCTCGGGGTGTGGCAGCAGGTGTCTGCACCAGATGAACCATCTAACTGGCCTGTCTTTACAGTTATGGCACTCAGGGACTGTGGCAGGCAGTAATGAAATAGTCACAGTAGCCCCTGGAGTGTAGTGAGTCCTTACCGTGCAGTGAGGATTACTCCAGTGCAGTAATTCTCACTGCAGCCAGGCCGTTAGGTCAACCTCCCCAGCAGCTGCCCTCTTACTACAACAGCAAAACCGTGTGTAACCCAGTGACCAAGGGTCACCATAGGTCTGCTGAAAATAGACCGGGGTTCTGCCCTGAGGCTGAGAGCCACATATTCCAAGCCAGCTTGAGACAGGCTTGACTTGAGTAGCTTCCCAGAGTCACTCCTCTGCCTGGCCTTGTCTTGGCTTTACACAGAACTAAAGCTGTGTGTGCCTTCTTGGTTGAGAGCTGATTCAGAGCATTCAGAAGTCCTTCTCTGTTCCAGGAAGGGAACTGAGGACAGGGGCAAGCAGAACTGTGGTTTGGCTTTGGGCTTAACAAGTCAGCTGTGTATGAGTGCCAGCTTCCTGAACGCAGGGTGGCATTGTCAGCACTGCATGGCTGTCCGTTTAGATGTCACAGCCTGGGCAGCGGCCATGCCAGGATGCCTCTTAGGCTTGGGACTCTGAGCACTGCAGTTAAATGGCTGGATGGGGCTCCTGGACGGAGGCCATGGTCTCTGGGGTGAGTCCCATGAAAGCGTCCTGTGTGTGTGTGATGGGACCCGCACTCAGGCAGGAGAGGATGATCCAGCTTCAGGGAATGGGGCCTTTGCTCAGCACCAGTTTGGTTTTCCTTTTTCAGGTAGGGAACAGGGTCTTGCTGTAAAGCCTAGGCTGACTTTGAACTTGGTGATCTGCTTTCTTCATGTTCAGTCCTGGTATTACAGAAGTGAGCATCACACCTGGTGACCCTTCTGAGTTTGTGGCAGTTGCGGTTGCCAGATGTAATGTAATGAGTTCTCATTCTCCTGAGTAGTCCATCAACACTAATTTAGTCTCTAGCTGTGTAGGTGGTGAAATTGGTGCAGAAGTGTAATCCTCTGCACTTCTAGGTTCCCCTAGTTGACTGTATGCTTTAAAATTGTGTGTGTGTGTGTGCATGCGTACGCGCTTGCCTGCCTGCCTGCCAGCCAGCCATGTGAGTGCAGGACTTGATGTCCAAAAGAGGGTATCTGAGCCTTTGGAGCTGGAACTGTAGGCAGTTGTGAGCTGCCCAGTGTGGTGCTGGGAACTGTAGAACCATTTCTCCTGCCTACTCCTTACGAGCCTTCCTTCATCAGTGTGCTTTTTTTTTTTCCTAATCACTTTGAACCCTTTCCCCCTTAGGTCTCGCCAGATGCAAGTACACACTTCCCACGGAATCACACTTTGGTTCATCTTGTGCGAGCGCGTGGTGATAGCTACTGAAGAAGCTGTGACTGTATTGTACATAGACTCCAAGAGCAGAGAAGGAACACTACATCCTCTAAAGTTCTGTTAACTTTTGTACCAAATAGCAATAAAAACTAGTGGGAGCAGTTGGGCTGTACACAAATGGGGACTGCAATCTACTTTGTCCCTAAATATTTTTTTAAAGAGTTGACCAAATACATTTTTGCATACTTGAGCGCTGCTGAAAAGAAGTCACTGGGGTGGGATGGGGAGGGGAGGGGACCGACGTTATGCTCGCACCTCAGGTCATTGTAAATACCTATGTTGTAAACTTGCCTAAGTACATACTGTGTGTATTTCTTTCCCTCGTGGAGCTCAATGTTTTGAGCAGTTTCTGCTCCTTTATGCTCTTTCATTTAAAACATGTTTTAAAGCAAATTCTCTTTGCTCTGTGTTATGTTGAGTCCTCTACAATCTATTGTTTGTCTTAACAAAATTGTTGATGGAAGTGTTGACACTCTGAAGGTGTGCTGTGCATCTTGAGGTCAGCAGCACTGAACCTGGCACCTTTTAGTCAGCTGTTGTCAGCGAGTCGCCGAGGAGGGTAGATAGATAGATGTCTTCCTGTGTCTGCAGGTTGTCCTGGAGCCCCAGCATCCTGCCTCGGGGTGGCCTGTGGTGCTTCTAGCTAGTGAGCCTACAGAGAAGCCACCGTCCTAGAGGGGCAGATGTTGAGTGGACCAGCCAGGCTTCATGGGAGCTATCTCAGTTGTTGATGTCTGTTGTAAGATCAGTTTCTTGGAGAGTTGTCTGAGTTAAGTCTAGATAAATACGCCAAATTTCCTTGTGTGAATCGCATGCTGGGAAGCAATTTTAAAGGGAGTGAAAGGTTTGAGGAAGTTTTTTAGTTTGTGTCTGGAGTCTTGGTATGAGGTGGAGACACCTTGAGTCTGGTGAGGAGCTGCTGGCTGAGCCTCCTGGGAGGGAGAGAAAGCTGCTGTACCCTTGTCTCCCGGTGCCTGTCACAGCCAGGGTGATTTCCTCAGCGCACAGGCAGCTTGGGATTGAGGGTGACAGCCACCAGCTGGCTCACTCAGCATTTTAAACTTGAGTTCCTTTGATGCCTTGAGTTTATTCAACAGTTCATGGGTTTAGCGAACCCAAAATCTTTTATTAAGAAACTGTTTCAAAAGTTTGCACTGCTCGTTTTTCTTGCCCTACCCCTCTTGGTAGGACAAAAGGGTGAAGAGCTCAAAGAACCCGACTGCTCCCTACTTTGATTGTGTGACATGGGGTCCTCGGGAGACCTGTGTGAGGTCCCTAGGGAGACTGTACCTCCTGTGTTGAAGGGAGAGCTGGGTTGAGATGTGTCTGCTTTTGCAGACAGTGCGTTTGTATCAGGAACCGTGTACACTAGGGCCTGTTCCCGTCCACAAGCGGAGCCATGTGTACATAATCTAGACTGTTTTCTTAGGTTCTGCACTTTTATAGCCTATTTTTGAAGATTAACACATTTGCAAGATGATTGACTCAATCTTTGCCTAAATCCAGCGAGTATACAGGAAGCTCGCAGAGATGATAAATGTAAATTTTGAGGGGGAGGTTATATACAATAGGGGGCAAAATGACACCTGTATTAAAAAAAATCACCAAATCTATTAGAAAACAAGTCAATGGTGTAATGCTGAAATTTTGGGGGCTTTCGGATTTCTCTAGTTACATTTTCTGAATGCATAAAAATTCCAGTTTTTTTTTTTTTTTTTTTTTTTTGCTTTTAAACAGCCCTTTGTACTTCACAGTGTGTTCTTGTCATCAGTATTAACTCTTGGGATACTACTGGCTTTGTGTGTCTTCCCTTTGAGGCAACAGTACATGTGATAGAGGTACAATTTGTTGGATTTTTGTTAATGTATTTATTTCATTCCAGTTTGATTTATTTTAATTGTTGATACTTAAGTTGTCAGACTGTAGACATGCTTTATTTATGATATATTTCAGCTTAAAGTTATGTTATTATATGTGGATGTAAATATAGATTTGGTGTTTTACAGTTCTGGTGTTCTGGTTTTTATTGTGTTTTTTTCTCTCTCCGTGTGTGTGTGTGTGTGTGTGTGTGTGTGTGTGTGTGTGTGTGTGTGTGTGTGTGTGTGTGTGTGCGTGCGCGCATGCATGTGCATGCAGCGCGTGTACTAGGGGCTAGTTTTCTCCTTCCTGTGGGTTCTGGAAGGAGGAAATGACCACCTTGCTGACCTTAGGCCCTGGTTCCTGCTTTAAATATAACTTTTGTTTTTGGTGGCAGTTTCTTTGTGTAACAGCCCTGGCTGTCCTGGCGCTCACTCTGTAGACCAGGCTGACCTTGAACTCGAAGAGATCCTCCTGCCTCTGCCTCCTGAATGCTGGGATTAAAGGCGTGAGCCACCACCTCTGGGCTTGATTGTTTCATGTATGTACACATGGATGTTGGAAGAGGGTGTTGCGTCCCCTGGAACTGGAGTTAGGACGGTTGTGAGCCACCATGCAGGTGCTGAGCACAGAACCCCGTCCTCTGCAGGAGCAGCCAGTGCTCTTAACCCCTGGGTTAGCTCCTGCTTTTTCCTTTGCTTTTTTAAGCCTTTATTTTTGTGTCAGGGCACATGCAACATGGGGTGCAGGTGGAGGTTGGTGCTTTATTTCTACCACGTGGAAGGACACCCAGGTCAGCTCGTCCTCGGGGTGAAGGTCTGGGTCCCCTGGTGCTTTCCAGCCTGCTTCCTGGATTTATTCTGAGACATGCTCTGATCACACAGCCCAGGGCCCATCAGACTTAGCATGTGACCTGGGTTGTCATCGAACTTGCTCTCTTGCCACCGATCCCCAAGTCCTGAGATTGCTTGTCCAGAGATCGCCTGCCTCTGCCTCCCAAGGGCCAGGATTGAAGGCGCGCTCCACCACCGCCCGGCTTGAAACCCTTTTTTTCCCAGCCCCTGCCCTGTGCACTGACACTGGCTACTGAGGCGAGGGCCCTTGTCCTGAGTGAGATTTGGTTCTGTCAGTTTGGGCTTTATTGCTCTTGTCTCTGACCCATGTTGGTGAACCAACAAGTTAAACCTCAGGGTGGATTTGGGTTTAGTTTTTCTGGAATAAGGTGAATTCCTCTTGCCATTTCTAGTCCGCGGGCTGAATGGTGGGTTAGGGCGAGTCAAAATGATACCATTATAAACTTGCCCCTCCTTTCTGCTTAAGCTTTCAGTGGTCAAAATCAAAGCTGGGAATGTGCAAAACATGTTTATAAAAGTTCCATGGGCAAAAGGCAGAGAATCAGAGCATTTCAGGCATTTTCAGTCACTGTGTCCTCCCCTCTGATTATGAACCCACCTGATCCTGGAGCAGGTGCAGAGGGAGACCCAGGAGCCAGGGCGGCCCTGCTCGGTAGCAGCAGGTTCCTACAGCAGGGAAGCTGTGGTAGCACCAACTCACAGGGAAGACCAGAGAGCCGTGGAGTCAAGCTTGCTAGCAAAGTAACGCCCCCAACCCCCCCATCATCCTTCCCTCCTTTGCCCAGGCCCAAAACAGCATCAGAGGGCCTGATTTACCAGACTGTGTCCCTCACTGACTACTTATGGGCCGTCAACCAGAGTTGGGCTGCCAGGGATTAGATCTCCATGACAACAAAAGGAAGGCAGTGTCTGAGCCACGTCGCACGGTGTTCAGTGACAAGCTAGTGAGGCTGTGTAAGGGACCCTGTAATGCCACCGGACTCGGCTCCTCAGACCAGGGTCTAAAGGTTGGGCAGTTGTCTCTTCCAGCCTTTCTGTGTTCCAGTATGACTTTTGAGATGTATGAAGTCAGGCAAGTTAGTTTTATTTCTCTGGGTTTTAACTTCATATGTTAAATAAGGATAACTACATAATAGCTACCTTACGGAATTGTTGTGAGGGACTCCATGTGGGTAGATACTTAGTACCCGGTGCATAATAAATATATGTAAATTACTTTTAAAAAGAAAGCTCCTTGGGACTGGTGGGATGGGGCAGTGGGTAAAGGAAATTCCTGGAACCCATATGGTGGAAGGAGAGAACCAAAGCTTGCAAGTTGTCCTCTGACTTCAACACACACACACACACACACACACACCACACACACACACACAGAGACACACACACCACACACACACACAGAGACACACACACACCACACACACACACACAGAGACACACACACACACACACACACCACACACACACACACACACCACACACACCACACACACACACGCGCACGCACGCACACACACACCACACACACACACACACACACCACACACACACACACAGAGACACACACACACACACACACACACACACTCTTAAGAAAAAGCTTTGTTTGGACCAATGAGATGGTTCAGTGGGAAAAGCTTTGGCCCTCCAAACCTGATTACCTGAGTTTGGTCCCTGAAACCCACATACATGTACACACAATCACATAAAAGAAATACAACTAGTAAATAAAGATGTTCCTTCATCACTTGTTGAAAGGAGACCATGTGAGTGGGGCTTGGGAACTCAGGCTTATCGCTCCAGCACTGGGGAGTGTGAAGCAGGATTGTGAATTCCAGATCAGTTAACCGGACCCCCTAACTTGCCTTGTGACTCTGAAATAAAGTTTGAACAAAGACTAAATTCCTCTCTGCTGCTTCCTGACTTGGCAACCCCTTGGCCTTCAGCAGGGAAAGTGACCCAGGGAATGTTACTTACTATATGACATCATTTAAGCAACTGACCATGCTGAAGCCCACAGTCTCCTGTCTGGTCAGTGGCAGTGTCTCGGTGGCCCAGAGTTTGTTGAGAGTGCTGTGGCGTCACCCCTTTGCTGTGACCAGACCTGATTTCATCTTGGATTCTTTGTATTATTCTAAAGTTAAAAACTAAAGAATTTCCACGTATGTGTGTAGACACCCACAGGGCCTAGAGTTGGAGGTTGTCCGCTACTCCATGTGGGTGCAAATACTCAGGACCGCTGAGCCATTCAGCCCACCCTTCCCTTTTTTAAAAGATTCATTTTATTTGCAATTATGCATCGTGTATGTAAACATACTACCTATGGGGGGCCAGAGGCATTAGATTTGTGGATTAGATTTCTGATCTGCCAGAGGTGGCTGCTGCCTACGGAACCTCAGGTCTTCTGGAAAAGCAGTGAGCGCTTTTAATCACCGAGCTGTTTCTCCAGCCCTCAAATTCTTAATTGTGTGTACGAGACTGCAGGTGCTACAGGCCAGAGCATCTTCAGTGAGAACAAGCACTGTAAAGGATCCAGTTTTCTCCATGAGAAATGGAGGTCAGGACTCACTGGAGCCAGGGAGGGCTGGTGCTCCTGGGGCCTGGGCTCTTGCATCATTTTGATGTTGGGAACATGAAAATACAGGCCTGCCTGCCTGCCTGCCTTCCTTTTCTTTCCTCCCTCCCTTCCCCCTCTCCCCTCCCTCCCTCCCTCCCTCCCTCCCTCCCTCCCTCCCTCCCTCCCTCCCTCCCTCCCTCCCTCCCTCCCTCCATTCTTGCCTGCCTCCCTCTCTCGCCCTCTCCCTTCCCCCTCTGTTTTCTTACTTTTCTAAAAGGGTGTGGAGCGCACATCTTAGTGAGTTATACAGCTCTTGTGCATTCACAGTGTAGAGTGCGAACACCCCAGGTTCTGGGTGACGTTAGCATCATGATTTTACTACCTAGGCTTCCTGTACACAGACTTGGTGGGTGTCTTATGGAGGGAGGCCTTTCTGTTCTTTTTGAAGCCGTTTGTCTAAAGCAATGATCAGCCCTTGCTGCCCCAGTGTAGTAAAGTGGTTAGAAATGCAGATTGTCAGGTTTCACCAGACCTGTTGGGTCAGGCACCCTGTGGGTGGGGTGGCATCCAGAGCCTTTGCTGGCAGGGACTGCAGGGACCCCTCCTGTGTGTGACACTGAGCCTCGGAGGGTGATAGGAATCTTTCCTGCCAAGATGCCCACCTCCTTTAGCTGGAAACTGGGTGTAAGTGTGTCTTGCTTGCACGACCTGAGTGCTGGGATTACAGGTGGGGATTTGGTTGATTTGGGAGGTGCTTTCTTGAAAATACTCACTGAATAGGTGGTCCCCTTCAAGATCCAAAGACAGAGAGACAGGGCCATTTCCCTCGAAGCTGTGAAGTGTCACCACCAGGCGGCGCCAGTGGGAACAACAAAGACCACTCACTAGTTTCCAGCGGTACTGTTCAGCTTTCATATCTGGTGCAAGTTCTAAAGACAAACACGTTTTGAGTCAACTGGAGGAGTAGTTTATGTTTACGATTCACTCCTTAGTGTTTTCCCCAGAGACACCAGAAGCCCAATTTAACTTTGAAAAAGAACGAGTCAGGCTGAGAATTGTCAGAGTGCTCACCTGGGAAGTGTGAACCCTGGGGTGTATCCCCTGGGCTGCACAAACCAGGACAGTGGTGCACTCCTATAATCTCAGTGTTTGGTGCACTCCTATAATCTCAGTGTTTGCCTGGTCCGGCACGGCTCCAGGGACGGCTCTGACACGGGCAGTAAGGGAGTGACGAAGAGAGACACAAAGTGGACACACAGAGGTTGGTTTGGGTGGTTGGGGCTGGTCTAGAGCGATCCCAATACCACGGGGGTGGGGCGGTGGGGGGGCGGGGGAGTGCAGAGTTTATTACATGAGAGTTGAATAGAGAGGCGGGGTTAATGCCTCCAGCTAAAGAAAGGTGGGGGATGCTGCCATGCCGCTGGTTCGAGGACGCAGGTTTAGCATGTCTTGGTAGGACACTACGGTGGACGCTCTCAGAACACATCAGCATTTCCCTTGGACCCCAGGAAGCTTTGTCTAAGAACTCACCACGTAGCTGAGGATAGTCTTGAGGTCTTCACACTTCTGCCTTCTCCTTGGATCACAGGTTATGCCTCTGTTGAGATCTTACTCTGATCAAATTTGAAACATGCAAATCCTTCAACTGTGATGCAGGGGTGTGTGAGTTTCCTTATGTGTCTGAAATTTCCGGGAACATGGATCTCATAACCTGAGGAACTGACCGAAAATCTTTCA